ACAAGCCTGCACAAAGGTTCAGCAGCCTCTCCAACGCACCTGGATAAAGAGGTAAGCCTGCGCAAAGGCCCACGCACCTAACGATCTTCAACGTCTGAAGCTAGAAGTCTGGACAACGCTACCAACGTCAGCTCAGCCTTAGACGTCCCCGAAGGAGCCTCTAAGATTCTCCACACAGAAACAGATTGAAACGTTCTCCAGAACCCTACAGACGCTGCAGATATGGATCGTCATCACCGTCGGACTAAGACTTACATCGGGAACCTGCACGCAGGCATTCCACATCTCACAGAGGGGAGATTACGTCAATCTGCCCCTTCGTGAAGGCCTAGAGAGATATCTCAAGGCTCCAGGAGGAATACATGGTCATACCGTGACCGTTCACCTGCACGCAGCTCTACATACAGATCTACATACAGAGACTCACGTCATTATGGATCTTCAGATAGGGAAATGTCCAACTTCACCATCTGAAGTTAGAAGTCTGGAGAACTCTGTTAACGTCAGCTCAGCATAGCAGACCCCTCTGATGACAGTCGCCCTGCGCGAAGGAATATTAGCTATGCAAGCTCTCTCAGATGAAGGCTTGCACGAACAGTTACATTCGCGAAGATCTTTACCGTCAGAAGTATCAGCAGTTAGAAGCCTGGAGGATTCAACGAATGCCAGCTTAGCGTTAGCAGTCCAAGATGGAGCCTCCACGCAGTTTCAGTGTCTCAGCATCAAGGATTCTAACACAGAAGTAGATCCAGTCGTTCTCCAGGATTCTACAGACTGCGCAGATACGGATCTTTGAACTTGGACCTTCATCAACCTGCACGCAGGCACTCACAGGGTGGATTATAATCAGAGTCAGCATGGCCCACCGTTCAATGATAGCAGATTTCCCCTTCATCATACGGAGCCCTTTATGATACATCAAGGTTTGAGATTACAAGATCATCAGTGAATCCCGTAATAGATCTTGAAGATGGAAGATAAGAAGATAACGCAACTGGACACTACAACTAGATGTTGGCTATGTTGGATCAACGCGTGGCTGAAGGAAGAGACGCACACCTGAACTAACACAGTCGCAGTTCCTCAGCGAGACATCGGTTACGATCAACTTTTTAGAACATCTGTATAAGATGACGACTGCAGTAAAGATTATATAGTTGAAGAATACAGTCACAACAGACAGGGAACAGTCTGCTTACATCGGTACTACGCAGCGAAGTTTTCGCGCTTCCACTCAGCCATCTAGACACGTGTTCACTCGTGTAACTCCGGCACAAGCCGAACAGAGAGGTTACGGACAGGGCCGAGTGTTGACTAAGAAATCAACGACTGCACAAGATTCTACGAGGATCATTTACCTGCAACACCGGTGACGTCACATCTGAAATCTGATTGGTCCATGAGAGACAGCGCCCTGCGCAGAACTCGGTCATAGTCACGTGCCAGGAAGTCGTCTACAGTTGTAAACAACTCTTTCAACGTGGGAAAGGCTCCATTTACAGTCCAGTTAGCAGGGTACAGCGTGGTTCAACTATCTTCACGGGTCATAGAGGACTTCCCCTGTCAGTAGATTTAATATTGGTTATCTGGGGACTTGCAGCGACAAGCGTTAGACGGTTTCTGCTCGCGGCAGACAGTCGACAATAAATAGACTTCACATCGATGGCACTTCCAGTACATCATAGATTTTGCTGATCTAGAGACGACGTATTATGCATCATCGCTGCTTATTGTTGGGATTCTGGTGACAACATCTTCATTACATATTACCAGAAAATGGATGAGACAAGCTTCAAGCCATGATTCCAGAATCGATCATCTCTCCACTTCCATGACGGACATGGCAAGGGTTCCTAGATCCATATGGCTCATCACACCACAGAATCACACGGTCGTCCCAGAGGATCGTTGGGTCAAGATACAACATATGATATCTAAAGCAATGCTCTCTCCGTTGACACTAAGTGCTTGGCAAAGCATGCTCGGTCTACTGACCTCAGTTCAAGAGATGACTCGCAGAGGGAGATTACAGCTGCGCCCACTACAAATATTTGTGAACGCCCATCTCAACAGTCTGGATCCGCTGATACTACCGGACAGCCTGAGACCATACCTCCTATGGTGGACTCAGAAGTCGAATGTTTGCGGAGGAACATTTTTGTCAGAGCCAGTTTGCAACACTCATCTCCACGTGGATGCATCACTACAAGGATGGGGTGCTCACCTCGACAACGAAGTGGCAGCAGGGAAGTGGTTGAGTCAGGATCAGAGTCTGCACATCAACCTGTTGGAGATGAAAGCAGTGATCAACGCTTTACAACACTGGTCCAGCATACTAAGGAACGCAAGGCTCACGGTCCACACGGATAACTTCACAGTAGCGTTCTACATCAACAAACAAGGATCAACAAGTCTGCTAAAACTCAGCTTTCTCCTGTTCAGCATCAGCGACGACCTGAACATCTACAGGAAGGCATGCCACATTCCAGGAGCAAAGACTGTCATAGCAGACGCAATATCTCGTCCACTACAACCGTCCCCGACGGAATGGAAGTTACATCCAGAAGTGTTCCGGTCATACAGACAATACGATCTCCACTGATAGACCTGTTTGCAACAAAGTTCAACAACAACTACCAACATTCGTCTCACCGTTTCCGGATCCTCAGGCATGGGCAACAGATGCTTTAAGCATCTCATGGGAAGGACTAAACGCTTACGCGTTCCCACCTCCAGCACTATTACCACAAGTAATACAAAAACTCAAGCAGACGACAACGTTGCAACTGATTTTGGTCGCGCCGTATTGGCCAGCGAGGGTATGGTTTCCCTGAAACTACCAGAGTGGTTGAACCTGCTCGTCCATCCACACACCAAGCAAGCTCAAGGGAATCCGGCATTGTTCCAGCTACACGCATGAAGCGTATCAAAGCTTGCCTGAAGACAAGAGGGTACTCCGCCAGAGCAGCGAAAGCAGTAACACTAGCTCTACGCAGATCAACTCGTACGGCGACAAGTGGCAGAGATTTGAACAGTATGCAACGAGGAAAGGCTTTACGGCGGTGAAAGCAACCCCTCCTCAACTGGCGGGATACTTTTGCGACAGACGAGACACCTGGCTGCTCTCAGCACAGTTATCACCATGAAGACGGGTGTCAACTTGACCAAAGTACAAGAGATACTGGCACTACTACGCTCGTTCAAGTTGGAAGACCAACAAAAGAAATTCAAGGCTCCTGCCTGGGATCTCAACGTAGTTCTACAACATCTCACCGTGATGCCTACGAGCCTCTGGAACGGACATCCTTTGAACTACTGACACAGAAAACGCTGTTTCTGATCACCCTAGCAACAGCAGCACGGATGTCAGAAATACATGCTCTGGACTTTGAACGAACACGATTTGAAGCAAGACATCATGACATAGTACATCTTGGACTGAGATGGGACTTTATTGCCAAAAATAATTGCCCGGCCAGCCTGACAGACAGTTCCACATCCCAGCACTTTCTACAGTCCTTGGGCCACAGGATACACAGGATTTATCCTTATGCCCTGTCAGAGCATTGAAAGTCTACCTACAAAGGACAAAAATAAGGAGACGAAAATTCAAGCGTCTATTCATCCCCTTATCCACTGAGACACCAACGGAAGTCTCACGGACAACTATATCAGTTTGGATGAGAGACGTCATATTAAGGGCCTACAAAGAAGCAGGACTTGAGCCTCCACGAGCCTTCAATCCCCACGAAGTCAGAGCCTTAGCGTCTACACTTGCTCTGCATGGAAACTGCTTGATTACAACAATAATGGAGGGCTGCTTTCGGAAATCGGACACAGTGTTTGCCAACCACTACCTCAGAGACATTGCCACCGAAGACGTCTCAGGCATTCGCCACTTGTTGTAGCACAACTAACGGTTCCACAAAGGTGCTGAGAAAAATCTCACGTGACTTGTGAAAACCAACGCTCTGGAGAGCAAATGGTTAAAGTCCATGCACACGTCTAGGACAGACTAGCATGTGTGATAGACACCCTGTACTTGTATAGGACTTACTCGTACATGAAGAAGGGTCGCATCTCCACTTGATGTATGCATCAAGATATGGAGTTGCAATAGATAACTCATGGAACATTAGTATATCTAAAATCCACACGAAAATGTCAGGAGAAGTTTCAGAAGAAATCTGACAAGTTGTGGGTCCCGTCCACCGTCACCCCCCGACTCATCAGATGGAAGTTGGAAGAACAGAATCGTCAGCAGTGCCGTCATAAGTTCCCATGGGGGGTTAATACAGGACGTAAAACAGCAGCCAGTGAATCCAGGAAGTGGACCCACCACCGATTTCGACGGATTCTGCAAGCATCTAGCACAAGTCATGATGAGGAAGAATATGTAATTTTCTGACTAAAATTGATATTTTATACTTATCCTGACTCATGTGGTCAGCCCTCCCTACCTCCCCTCTCAGAGCACTCTGAATTTCCCTGTAAATCCGGGTGTTGGGCGTACAAACGGAGAGAGTGACAAACACAGCTGGTCATGTGACCAAAAAGGGGCGCCAAAGGAGCTAAGGGAGACTACTCGTGGGTGAGTGATGATTTTACGTCCGCTTTTTAGAAGGGAACTTCAAGGGATTTCAAGTGTTCCACTATCATTCGCAAGAAGAAGGCGACAAGCATTTAGCATGAGTCAGGATAAGTATAAAATATCAATTTTAGTTAGAAAATTACATTTCTGTAATTGAAGGATGCAGTTTATCAAAATGTTACTGCTCTTATTTGTGCAATTGCTGTTTTCATTAATGCCTTTATATTTACACAAAATATTGTGATTATTTAAATTGTTGCTAGGTATTGTATTGAACATGCTGTAAGGAGGGAACCTCACTGCTCATGTTATGTATTTGTAGATATTGGCTAGGAGCTGTACCTCTTGTAGATAAGTGTCTTACCCCCTACTGGAGAACCTTGAGGACATACAGAATATGTACTTGCAGATCTCCTGTGTTTGAGAAGGTTCCCTTGGAGCAGGAGAAGGCCTCTACTCAGTATACCCTGGAATTCACGTTCGACTCCGACTGCCGGTGTGCCATCACCGTCTTCTACCTAGCAACAGAGGAGATCAGTGGGGGACACATTTCGTATGTGATACTTTGCATTCTTTTACAGTTCCAGACCAGTCCTATATTGATGTTTTTACCAAATGGACCATTCATGGCTCCATGTGAATGTTAGTTTTGGTAACTTCCTTAAAGCACAAGTCACCCCTGTCTGGACCTTGCATGTGTGATAAGTTCTGTCATGACATAGCGTATGAAAGGTACTCAGATATTAATATGATAGCAGAACCTCAAGGAGCCAGTTTCTTCTGTGTTGTATTAGGTTTTCTTTGTTACAACTGATGTTGATGTTAGCTGTTCTCTCACAGGTACCACCCCAAGGATCCAGCACTCAGCTCACAGACATACCACTACAAGAAGGGGGCAGGACAAATCTTCAGTCAGGCTGATCACATCATTGACCCCAGCAAGTTCAGTGATGAGGAGGTAAGGACCATATGCTAATGACAATACATATGTACTGTACAAAGCATCGTGTAATGGGATCTGTAATGTCCTCAGATCTATTTCTAGCAGTAGTGAGCACAATGATCTGAAGGTAATAAGATATTGACTAGAACCTGATGCAATATTATTTCCAGAACAGTGGAAGCTGTCCAAACTGGCACTCATTAGGACTGAAGAAATAATCCGGTTTAGACAGTGTGCCAGATTGTAGAGCTGACACGGTTACGTACGACTAGACCTGAGCTCATATTCACATTTATTCACTTAATAACATAAATATGATAAATCAACACATTTGAATAAAAATCAGACATTTTGGTTTGTTTCTTCTCAATTGACGATTCAAGAGTGATTTTCTCGGCGACACTTTTTTCTAAGTTCTCAATGTGGATCAGCAAGCGTGTCTCGCTAGACTAAGCGAAGTGCTTCATTTCCGTGCACATTTTGAGGAAGTCTCTCATTGTCATGGAGGGCTACTTCTCTGGAACTGAACTAAGATTAAACAGCTCATTTCATGCTGAGATCTGGAATTGACAGCTGCCGGATTGAAGAGCTTTCGAATGATGATAAATGTACTAGCCACGGACGGGACAGAGATTTTATGCCGGTGTTGACAACTTATCGGATTGGACAACTCCCCGTTTGACAGCTTCCACGGTTATTGTGTCTTGGACATGTGACATCTTTGCACAATGTGAATGTTTTCAATTAGCAGCAGTGCCATGGTTTTATTATAGTGTCCTGTTGTGTCAGTGTATCATTGTGATACCTGAGCTTTATGCTGTTTCAGTGGGTGTTTGGTGTGGACAAAGATGCCATCCCAGTTGTTATTCAGTGTACAGTAGAGGAGGAAGGTGAGTCTTGTGCAGTATTGGTGACAGGGGTAACAACCCACGGGCCAGATGTGCTGTGAGGAGGTGCATCACTTAGTTATTGACATTGTCTGGTATTGAGCCACAAATCTGATATATTAACTTTTGGGTCTTAAGACATTTTCAACTTTAGAGTGACACACTGAAGCAGAAATCGGATGCTGTTCACTGATACACTATGTTCTCTTGTTGACAAGCAATGACTACGCATCCAGCAGAACATGCTGTTTGTTGTTACATGTGTGTCCCTGTGTAATGGGACATGCTGTTTGTTGTTACATGTGTGTCCCTGTGTAATGGGACATGCTGTTTGTTGTTACATGTGTGTCCCTGTGTAATGGGACATGCTGTTTGTTGTTACATGTGTGTCCCTGTGTAATGGGACATGCTGTTTGTTGTTACATGTGTGTCCCTGTGTAATGGGACATGCTGTTTGTTGTTACATGTGTGTCCCTGTGTAATGGGACATGCTGTTTGTTGTTACATGTGTGTCCCTGTGTAATGGGACATGCTGTTTGTTGTTACATGTGTGTCCCTGTGTAATGGGACATGCTGTTTGTTGTTACATGTGTGTCCCTGTGTAATGGGACATGCTGTTTGTTGTTACATGTGCCGCCCCAATGTTACAAGGCATGCAGTTTGTTGAATGTGTGTACTTCTATGTTACAGAAAACATGGGACACTCCCACATTACTTACGCCATGCTGGAGAAGGGAGTAGAGGGCGGATACAACATCAAGCCTCTCAAACAGAAACAGTTTGTTGATGGACTTGCCTACTTACTTCAGGAAATTTACGGCATTGAGAACAAGAATATGGAGAGGTCAAAAGTAAGCGATTCTGTCAATTCTGGGTATTGGTCATTGTAAAATGGATATTTGTTTCTGGCGACACACAGAGATGTGCAATTCCAAATTTGTTTCCATCTGTGTCTATTAGTGCAATGCTAATGGAGGGATCTTTTGCAGATAGCATGTAGTCCAGTGCAGTTTGTTTGGTCTGTTGGTTGTTTAGTGATTCATGAAGGGAAATGGATCAATTCATTGTGTACTGCAAATTGTCGCGTATAAGGCGAGTTTTCTGTACCTAGAATTAGAGGGCTTTCAAGGCATGTGTGCATGTGCGTGCACAGCAACAAGTTTGATTTGGACTGAAATTGGCCTTGGTGCTCTTTTCCAGAACAGAACATTAAAACCGTTTATTTTATTAACTTAGCACAATAGGTCTGGTGGTGAACTGGTTTTTTGATAGTTTTGGATTTCTGGATAAAATATCTTTTTGCATTTCTGTGGCAACAAGTTTGACTTTGACTGAATTTGGTGGTAGTGACTGAATTCTGGGGAGATCCGCTCTGGGGGAGAACGTGAAACCTTTCAATACTCTCTTTCCACTTTATGGGTGTCCAAGAACCTAATAACATAAATCAACAGTACCACTCTATTTAGGGTATCAGCATTACTAAGGTACATCAAACCGTACATTTGTCATAGTCATAACTAGTTGACATATTCATGACGAGTATTTTACCATTGTGGGAGATATTGATGACTTTGTCTTCTTCTTGTATAAAAGCTTCCAACGTATCCGGATTACTTGTTCATACTATACATATTCCGCAAATAATGTTGAAATAAGCCTCACCTCAATTATGATTGCCCAGCTAGCCGACATGGTGAAAGAACTTAGTTTATGTCTCTGGAGAGCTCATCTCGTATTTTCTCATTCAATTTGGCATAAAAGTTAATTTTACATGTATATTTCATTTAAAACACCACTGCATTTCTATAAATATGTATCTAATTATACTGCTGTATTGACACTAACTACAAAGTAGCATTTTTGTAACTTGATATGTCCCCAATCAGTTGCCCATATGACCTTACTTGTGATATCTAACCAGTGAACCTGAAATCAATTCCCTTTGTGTTTTTCTCTATTAGCCAGTGGTGTGTGTCTTGGCTATCGAGTAAACACACCCATAGTACAAGGCTATATCTGTCTCTGAGTCTGTTTCACAAGGACATGGTTTCAGCTGGATCCTGAAGATGACTTGGAAGACAGCGGGGCGGAATGTGTCATCTGTATGTCTGACATGCGAGACACACTAATCCTGCCGTGTCGACATTTGTGTCTGTGCAGCGCCTGTGCCGACTCCCTGCGCTATCAGGCCAGTATGTGCCCCATCTGTCGAGTGAAGTTCCGGGCACTGCTGCAGGTACGGGCCATGAGGAAGAAGGCGCCAGTACTTCATCACCAGGTAAGGGCGTTATAGTACTCAACTCACCACATCAGTTATTTGGAATCAAAACGTGTCAGAGAAAACGTAAATGAAAGTCGACACCTCACAACACAGGTGAATTGTTGTTGATATTGCAGGGAGAGCCTGAAGAGAACCCAGTGAGTCAGGAAGGTGTTCCCCCAGGTTACGAGGCAGTCACCTTGATAGAAGCACTAAATGGCCAATGTGCTCCTTTACCAGGAGAAGGTGAGGTGGCTCTCAACATGCATCTCTATTTACTGCTGCTGCAGATTCTGCACATAGGCAAATTCTGTGAGGTCTTTTCAGAATGTTGAGAATAGACTTAATGATTTTGTTTTGCTGTTGTAACTTTAGCACTTTTCAAACTACTAAAGGAGAAAAACATTCTTTAATACTTTGTGAACAGGAATGGTGATCATTTGGTTTTACTAGTTGGATATAGCACTTGTTTACATGATGTGTTTAGGATTAGTCAGGCTGGCATGCATGCTAGTATTATGTTCAAAGAACACAGACTTCAAATTGAAAACAGAATGATTAGGAACCCTCTAGGAGTAGTGACTCTGATGACAACAACGACAGTGACTGATTGTAATAATGATGTCCTGAGTGACATGCAGCCTGTTTTTGTCTGGTGCAACAAGGTTATTACCTTAGTTTACACTGGGTACAAGTAGGTTTCATTTCCTTAAACCAAACTATGGTTCACCTTCATTTGCATCAAATCAAAAATATGATAGAATCCAGTTTAGTTTGCTCAGCACTTCAGTTCCGATGTGTAAAGATCTATTGAAAATTGAATCGGGCATAAAATCACAAAGTTTTTTCAGCATGATGTAAAAACAGACAGAACTTACGACATACTGGCCCTATAATAGGTACTCATAAGATGACAAGATGATATAAGAGGTATTTCTTTTGAAGGTTTCAGCATTCAAGAATGCAAGAATTCACTTTGTATCGTTTGTGAATAATGCTGTTGTTTCTGTTTGTCAGGAGGTCCTCCTCTCCACATGGTGCCACCTGTGAACACAGTTTATACCATGGACAGCTCCAAGAAGATACAGAAGGGGTCACAGTAAGTACATGGTGCTCCTCTACTCACCACTATATTGTTAGACCCCATGAAGATCCGGGTTAGATTTGGTCTTCAGTAAGTTCTTGTAAGAGGCAACTAACGGGATCAAGTGGTCAGGCTCACCGACTTGGTTGACACATGTCATTGTATCCCAATTGCATAGATCAATGCTGATGATATGTTAATCACTGGATTGTCTGGTCCAGACTGCTGCCATACAGGTGGAATATTGCTGAGTAACCAACCCTATTGTTAAAGCCATCCTTTGCATTGCAACAGATGCCCAGGTTTCTCAATTGTTTATGATGATATCTTGGTCACTAGGGTGGACTATGTTTCACTGATGTGTGCAAAAAAACTAGTTGTGCTATGACCAGTTCCTGGAAGCTGTCAGCAAAGTGTTTTAAGGAACACTTGTTGGTAAGATTCAGGTTTTTATTTTTGCAAAGCTCAAGCATATTTATCATAGAATAAAATGAGAGACTGACGAGTCACCAGCTTGGTCACATGCTTCCGGTGCGCATTCAAGGCTGGGGGTGTGTTCGGATGAGATGTCAAAAGTAGCCCTGGGCCATGGCTAACACAACACAAGGACTATGTTATAGTTATAGTAACACATGATGCTGGGATGTTGGTTGAAAATGTAAAACTTTAAATACAGTATTCTGTCAGTGATGTAATAGAGTTTCTTTTTTTTTAGAATTATTTACATTATTGGCCATTGTTGGATCATTTTTTCTATACTTTGAATTTTATGTTCAGTAACTGTTATTCTGGTTAGCAAATGTAATTGCAAATAATAATGACCAACTGTAACTTTTTCATTCTAGTTTAGTTTGTCTTTAGGCTGGATTGATGTTGTCAATAGGTTGCAGTTGTGTTTGCCAAGCTAGAATATTGTCTGCTAAAGCATGTGTTGCTTTTTATTACCCACCGCACGTTGAGCGCGATGCGGGGGATACAGTATTAGGCTCTGTCCATATCTACGAATTGGAATATCTTAAGAATTGGTGACTATATTCTTTTCATATTTGGTACCAAGTTTCTTCACAGTATGCATAAGGTCCAGTCAGGTTTGGTGACCTTGACCTTCATTTCAAGGTCACAAGGGGACTTCAATGTTTTACCCTTGTCAGCGAGATATCTCAAGAACTATTCACTTGATTTTCTTCATATTCGACACCGTGCTTCAACTAGGGGAAGGTGCAGGGCCCAGTCGATTTTGTTACCTTCACCTAATTTTCAAGGTTACATCGACACTTTGAAGATTTCAGCATTTTAACCCAGCATGTTAAGCTTGTCAGCAAGATACCTCAAGACCCATTCACTGGATTTTCTTCAGATGTAACACCAAGCTTCATTTAGGGAAGATGTAGGGCCCAGTCAATTTTCTTCATAGACTTTGAAGACTTCTCTTGAATGTTTTTTATAAGCAATTTCTTTATTACTATTTTTGCATATTTGCGCTTTGAGCATAATATCCAAGTATGGATAAAGCGCAATACAAATCCATTATTATTATTAATATTTTATTTCATACACCATGACATTCATGTCAAGGTCAAAGTGAGTCTTGAAAATATGTGTGTGTTTGAACAACAGAGCAAGATATCAAGAGGTTGACTGGTCATGTTTTTGTTGACATTTAACTTCATCTTAAACTACGACCTTCAGTTTCATTACTTTTTAAGTTTGATTTGATAATTTGCGGCAGGGAATTATGTAACCTTAGTGACAAGGCTTGTTCATCTTTAAAATAAGACTGGATTATGGATTGTCAAATGTTAGAGTATTATGTATCATTAATATGTCCGGATAACTGTTATTAAACATCTCAGTCATTGTCATACAGCTCTATCATTGCCATGGTCATGCAGCTGGTTCATTGTTGGTCATTCAACTGGATCATTGTTGGTCATAAAACTGGATCATTGTTGGTCATACAACTAGATCATTGTTGGTCATAAAATTGGATCATTGTTGGTCATACAACTAGATCATTGTTGGTCATACAACTGGGTCATTGTCATACAACTAGATCATTGTTGGTCATACAACTGGTTCATTGTTGGTCATACAACTGGATCATTGTTGGTCATACAACTGGATCATTGTTGGTCATACAACTGGATCATTCTTGGTCACACAACTGGATCATTCTTGGTCACACAACTGGATCATTCTTGGTCATACCACTGGATCATTCTTGGTCTTACAACTGGATCATTCTTGGTCATACAACTAGATCGTTGTTGGTCATAAAACTGAATCGTTCTTGGCCATACAACTGGATCATTCTTGGTCATACTTGATCATTGTTGGTCATACAACTGGATCATTGTTGGTCATACAACTGAATCGTTCTTGGCCATACAACTGGATCATTCTTGGTCACACAACTGGATCATTCTTGGTCACACAACTGGATCATTCTTGGTCACACAACTGGATAATTCTTGGTCACACAACTGGATCATTGTTGGTCATACAACTTGATCGTTCTTGATCATACAACTGGATCATTCTTGGTTATACAACTGGATCAATGTTGGTCATACAACTGGATCATTGTTGGTCATACAACTCGATCATTGTTGGTCACACAACTGGGTCATTGCTATACAACTTGATCATTGTTGGTGATACAACTGGGTCATTGTCATACAACTGGATCATTGTTGGTCATACAACTGAATCGTTCTTGGCCATACAACTGGATCATTGTTGGTCATACAACTTGATCATTGTTGGTCAAACAACTGGATCATTGTTGGTCATACAACTGAATCGTTCTTGGCCATACAACTTGATCATTGTTGGTGATACAACTTGGTCATTCTCATACAACTGGATCATTGTTGGTCTTACAACTGGATCATTGTTGGCAATACAACTGGATCATTCTTGGTCACGCAACTGGATCATTGTTGGCCATACAACTTGATCATTGTTGGTCACACAACTGGATCATTCTTGGTCATACAACTGGATCGTTCTTGGTCAGACAACTGGATCGTTCTTGGTCATACAACTGGATCATTGTTGGTCATACAACTGGATCATTGTTGGTCATACAACTCGATCATTGTTGGTCACACAACTGGGTCATTGCTATACAACTAGATCATTGTTGGTCACAACTGGGTCATTGCTATACAACTAGATCATTGTTGGTCATACAACTGGATCATTGTTGGTCATTCAACTGGATCATTGTTGGTCATACAACTGGATCATTGTTGGTCATTGTTTGTCATGCAACTGGATCATTGTTGGTCATGCAACTAGATCATTGTAATGCAACTGGATCATTGTTGGTCATACATCTGGTTCATTGTCATACAACTGAGTAATTGTTGGTCATACAACTAGATCATTGCTGGTCATTCAACCGGATCGTTGCTGGTCATTCAACTGTATGATTGTCATACAACTGGATCATTGTTGGTCATACAACTGGATCATTGTTTGTCATACAACTGGAGCATTGTTGGTCATACAACTGGTTCATTGTCATACAACTGGATCTTTGTTGGTGATACAACTGGATGATTGTTGGTCATACAACTGGATGATTGTAGGTCATTCAACTGGATCATTGTCATACAACTGGATCATTGTTGGTCATACAACTGGATCATTGTTGGCCATACAACTGGATCATTGTTGGTGATACATCTGGTTCATTGTCATACAACTGCATCATTGTTGGTGATGCAACTTGGTCATTGTCCTACAACTGGATCATTGTTGGTCCTTCAACTGGATCATTTTTGGTCACACAACTGGATCATTGTTGGTCATACAACTGGATCATTGTTGGTCATTCAACTGGAATATTGTTGCTCATACAACTGGAATATTGTTGGTCATACAACTGGGTCATTTTCATACAACTGGATCATTGTTGGTCATACAACTGGGTCTCTGTCATACAACTGGATCATTGTTGGTGATACAACTGGGTCATTGTAATACAACTGGATCATTGTTGGTCATACAACTGGATCATTGTTGGTCATACATCTGTTCATTGTCAAACAACTGGATCATTGTTGGTCATACAACTGGGTCATTGTCATACAACTGGATCATTGTTGGCCATACAACTAGATCATTGTTGGTCATACAACTGAGTCATTTTTATACTACTGGATCATTGTTGGTCATACAACTGGATCATTGTTGGTCATACAACTGGATCATTGTTATTCATTCAACTGTATCATTGTTTGTCATACAAGTGGATCATTGTTGGTGATACAACTGGGTCATTGTCATACAACTGGATCATTGTTGGTCATACAACTGGTTTATTGTCATACAACTGGATCATTGTTGGTGATACAACTGGGTCATTGTCATACAACTTGATCATTGTTGGTGATACAACTGGATCATTGTTGGTCATACAACTGGTTTATTGTCATACAACTGGATCATTGTTGGTGATACAACTGGGTCATTGTCATACAACTGGATCATTGTTGGTCTTACAACTGGATCATTGTTGGTGATACAACTGGATCATTGTTGGTCTTACAACTGGATCATTGTTGGTCTTACAAATTGGATCATTGTTGGTCATACAACTGGTTCATTGTCTTACATCTGTATCATTGTTGGTCTTACAACTGGATCATTGTTGGTGATACAACTGGATCATTGTTGGTGATACAACTGGATCATTGTTGGTGATACAACTGGATCATTGTTGGTGATACTACTGGATCATTGTTGGTCTTACAAATTGGATCATTGTTGGTCATACAACTGGATCATTGTTGGTGATACAACTGGATCATTGTTGGTCTTACAAATTGGATCATTGTTGGTCTTACAAATTGGATCATTGTTAGTCATACAACTGGATCATTGTTGGTCATACAACTGGATCATTGTTGGTCTTACAAATTGGATCATTGTTGGTCATACAACTGGTTCATTGTCTTACATCTGTATCATTGTTGGTCTTACAACTGGATCATTGTTGGTCTTACAAATTGGATCATTGTTGGTCATACAACTGGATCATTGTTGGTCATACAACTGGATCATTGTTGGTCTTACAAATTGGATCATTGTTGGTCATACAACTGGATCATTGTTGGTCATACAACTGGATCATTGTTGGTCTTACAAATTGGATCATTGTTGGTCATACAACTGGATCATTGTTGGTCTTACAAATTGGATCATTGTTGGTCATACAACTGGATCATTGTTGGTCATACAACTGGATCATTGCCATACAACTGGATTATTATTTGTCATAAAGCTATGACATTGTCATGCAACTGAATCATTGTCATATATCTCAATCATTTTTTGTCATGCAACTGGTATGGGGTTATACTGTATGCTCTAACCATGGTACGGTACATATTGCAGTACAAGGCCTTCGGCTCGGTCCATTTCGGTTACGTATATATATGAGATATAATCATAATGCAGAAAATTGACAAGAGCCAAACATTACATTGTTTAGTAACATGGAAAGAAATAACCATAATCTTTGTCATTTTGAATGAAGAAAACTATCATTTTATGACTAGAGAGAAGAACTAAAGTATCACTGGAACCTAGGAGCTCACAGCTCACAGTAGCCAAGTATGATGAAAAGTCACTTACATCACATCAACAGTTACTGTAGTGAAATCACCACTATGTTCCAGAAATGTTAACAAAACAATACACAAATCAGATCTTGTCGAATGTGACTCTGTTGATGACATATGACAGATAAATAAATTAAACAAATAAACACAACACAGTAGTCATGAGGCAGTTACAGTCTGTTTGATTGATCATTGTCATTGTTCTAAATCATTGTCTATCTCTCGTTTCAGTTGGTTGAACATTTAGAGACTTTCCACAGTCCTTGGGAAGTACTGATACACAATCTTGGCACTTTCAGGATTTTCTTTTATTAAGTTTTCAGATTCATTCAAAAGCTTTTCACATTCATTCAAGAGCTTTCAAAGTTCACTCTGAAATGTAATTCTCCTGTGTGAAACAAATACAATGTATGTTTTAGCTTGAGAAGGCCACTTTCTCTTTTTGGGGGTCGTTAAATGTTTATTGCTCTGATATAGCTTGTAATGAGATGAGCTCAAATCTTTGTGAAGTGGTAGGTACTTGTTATTCAACTAAGCCGGAAATAGCAATGAGCTGTGTACACATGTTTTGCTCAATTCTACTAGTGATTCAGTTGAAAACAATCCAATATTATAATACAAAAGAATTGTATTCCATAACCAGAATAATTTATTTCTCAAGCAGTTAAATTTAACAGAGATAGTATATATTGCTATTGTAGTAGTATTATGCATGTTTTCTACAAACATTTTTAACATGATAATTAACATAGGCTTAGCACTTTGGGTTACGTGCCTGGATATGAGACTGGCTGAGTCACCTTTAACTTCCTGCAGCACGTGCCACTTTGATTGAGTCAGTGAGTCAATAACGTGGGTCTAAGGGTCCATGGATGATGAGGCTTTAATCAGTTCATGGTTGCTGAGAATAATGTGAAATTGGTGCTATTGCGGTAGGCGTGAAAAGCTGACCCTCATGAACATAGTAAGCAGAAGTGGTACCCGTATGAATGAGGTGATGCCATTTCACACACATTTTCTCCATTGTTGCTGTAAACAGTTTTAATGAATGAAAGCTGGTCATTGCTTGTCATATAGCTGGGTCATTGCTTTTCATACAGCTGGGTCATTGCTTGTCTTACAGCTGGGTCATTGCTTGTCTTACAGCTGGTCATTGCTTGTCATATAGCTGGGTCATTGCTTTTCATACAGCTGGGTCATTGCTTGTCTTACAGCTGGGTCATTGCTTGTCTTACAGCTGGTCATTGCTTGTCTTACAGCTGGTCATTGCTTGTCTTACAGCTGGTCATTGCTTGTCATACAGCTGGTCATTGCTTGTCTTACAGCTGGTCATTGCTTTTCATACAGCTGGTCATTGCTTGTCTTACAGCTGGTCATTGCTTGTCATACAGCTGGTCATTGCTTGTCTTACAGCTGGTCATTGCTTGTCATACAGCTGGTCATTTCATTGCTTGTTACAGCTGGTCATTCTTTTCATACAGCTGGTCATTGCTTGTCTTACAGCTGGTCATTGCTTTTTCATACAGCTGGTCATTGCTTGTCATACAGCTGGTCATTGCTTGTCATACAGCTGGTCATTGCTTCATACAGCTGGTCTTGTCTTACAGCTGGTCATTGCTTTTCATACAGCTGGTCATTGCTTGTCTTACAGCTGGTCATTGCTTTTCATACAGCTGGTCATTGCTTGTCTTACAGCTGGTCATTGCTTGTCTTACAGCTGGGTCATTGCTTGTCTTACAGCTGGTCATTGCTTGTCATACAGCTGGTCATTGCTTGTCTTACAGCTGGTCATTGCTTTTCATACAGCTGGTCATTGCTTGTCTTACAGCTGGTCATTGCTTGTCTTACAGCTGGTCATTGCTTGTCATACAGCTGGTCATTGCTTTTCATACAGCTGGTCATTGCTTGTCTTACAGCTGGTCATTCAGGGTTTCAGATTGTCATCGGCCTTCGGTCATAGTCCGATAACATTTTCAAATGACCGACTACTTTCTTACTAATTAGGACACTCGGGCCAATCGATAATTTCGATGTTATTTTCACATATTGGACCTTATAAATTACGAACATTATCATTTACAAATTCATCAAAAACTAACCACGAAATCTTGATCATGTTTCCGCGGCGTGTATGTATTTACGCATCCATTTTTATCACACTAAGCTACCAAATGGATTGAGCGATTGGCTGCTATTTTAAGCATTGGACAATCAGAAACGGGGTTTCCCGACCCCACCCGCATGTAACAATGTTTCAAGGAAATCATTAAATAAATTGAATAAACTAATGAATAAAATCAACAATAGCATTCATAAGACGTACATATAAAATTACTATTTCCATCTTTTTGTGCGATCATGTAATGCAAGTCTCGGCTTTCGCCGCCTCAATCTTCACGCTTCGACACGATGTTTAATGCAAAAATATATGCATGAAGCATTTTTGTCACAGGTCATAACCTAGCACGATACGTCCAATAAGTTTCATAATTTACGTAGAGATAGCGATTTCGTGCTTAATATGTTCTGAATAGCATTATTTTACTAAAAACTTTTGTCTAAATATAAAAAATTTCGTTTACGAGGACGGTATCCATTGCCGTAATATGATTGGTTGCCTCATGTCACGTGTCTGATTTTGACCAATCACGACCCTTATAGCAGACTGTGGCGAAAAAGCGTCATTAGAAACCAATCTTTATCCAATAAAATCGCTTCTTACAACTGTGAAAATACTCTCAGCAAGGGTATAGTGATATTGTTGATGTTCAGAGCTTTCGAACGATACCCGCCATCAAACGATTCGCCTCGCATGTTATTCATGCAAAGCTTCGAAAACGGAGGTATTTTCCGTTGTTGTGTCATGTTACCGAGCGGAAAGCCACTGATATCGGGAAATAGGCGACCATACATATTATTTAAGAAATCTTTATATAATAATTTTCTGATTACGTAAAAATGAAAATATAAAAGAAAAAGGCACGGGGATGTTATGACATGTCACAAATGGAAAAAAATTGCCATAGTTTTTGCTTCTTTTGTGATATTTCTGGACATTATAAACGCTTGCATTTTCATTAAAAAATCAATTTATTTAAGTTGTAGTTGTATTATTTTAAAAATATTAGAAAAATAAATTTCATATTTATCAACAGTGGTATTAGATCTTTTAATTTTGCTGTATATCTAGAATCCAAGTTGCAACATTAAATGTCATTAACAATTTAGTTATATGATGGCATTGGGATTTAAAAAATGTCAAAAAGAGCTTTAGGTCAATGGCCTATCGCCAGACACCCACTCAGGACATTTGTCCTACTGATTTTTATAGGCTTCAAAATCACTGTCATTGCTTGTCATACAGCTGGTCATTGCTTGTCATACAGCTGGGTCATTGCTTGTCATACTTGTCATACAGCTGGTCATTCCTTGTCATACAGCTGGGTCATTCCTTGTCATACAGCTTGTCATTCCTTGTCATACAGCTTGTCATACTTGTCTTACAGCTGGTCATACTTGTCATACAGCTGGTCATTCCTTGTCATACAGCTGGGTCATTCCTTGTCATACAGCTGGTCATTGCTTGAACTACTTGTCATACAGCTTGTCATTGCTTGTCATACTTGTCTTACAGCTGGTCATTGCTTGTCATACTTGTCTTACAGCTGGTCATTGCTTGTCATACTTGTCTTACAGCTGGTCATACTTGCCATACAGCTGGTCATTGCTTGTCATACAGCTGGTCATTGCTTGTCATACAGCTGGTCATTGCTTGTCATACTTGTCATACAGCTTGTCATTGCTTGTCATAGCTTGTCATACTTGTCTTATAGCTGGTCATTGCTTGTCGTACAGCTGGTCATTGCTTGTCATACAGCTGGTCATTGCTTGTCATACAGCTGGGTCAATGTTTGTCATGAGACAGCAGCAGCATTGTTTGCCATAATGTTGCAGAAGACATTGTTGTATGGCTGTATCATTATGTGTTGTTAAGATCACTGCTTGTCATGAAGCTACAGCATTGTTCAGTACAAGATTGTGTTATTGTGTCATGTTCTACAGGATCACCGAAATGACCCCTATTGAATATCAGAAAGAGATGGATCCTGACAAGGAGGTAGGGGACATCAATGAGAAGCAGCCGCCAGCTAAAAAAGAGGAGGAGGAGGAAGATGGACAGAAGGGAAGGGTCACTCCAGAGGTTGTCATGTCAGACAACAAGCTCGAAACAGACAAGAAGAGAGGATCTCCCAAGAAACCCCCGCTACCTGATGTTAGGTATGCTCCATTGGATGTTTATCTGTTATAGTAATTAAAGTGTGTTTTCCTGAATCTTGTAATGTCATTCAGACATTTATGTGGGAGTCAGATACTGTATTTTCTTGAGTATAGTGTGCACTCAAGCACAATGTACAATCCCCATTGTTTGGGGGGAAAACATTTGACAAAAGCTGCATCATATGAAATTTCTGACAAAAGATAACAAGACATAATGGTTTACCATTTAAATCATAATTCCTCTTCTTCAAGGCATACTTTTGTATGCAGAAGGTACGATTGCCATGTGTATTGTATCGTAAACTAAGCTGGAATTTCAATCAGCTGTGCATGTTTCCTCTTAATCAACCTGTGATTCAGTTAAAACAAAGCAAATAAAATATACCAAACATTTGTGATGCAATCATCAGAAGAATCATATCTCAAACCAGTGAGGTAATGCACTGCTGATATTTTCATTCACTATTTTGCTGAATTTACTGTTAACAGTATTGAATGAAAGTTTGAATAAAATGAATGCATTTGATTAAAGGCCAGGGTTCAAACCTATACACACATGGGGGTTTGGCCACATTGCTTGGCCAAAGCTGTCTTTAGATGCTAAGCAAAGCAGTATTCAAGTACATTCCATGAAATATCACAATATTGACTTATCGGTTCATAATGATATTAAGTCATATATAATAGTATTAAAAAGTATGTTATGAAGGCTCACTGCGAAAAGTATGAATATAGACAGTCTACAAAATATACATTTTGATTTTTTAAATCCAGATTTGAATATCCCACTGTATTAGTCAGGTGGCCAGAGGAGGTGCTTTTCCACAGAAACAAGCCTGTCAGTGGGGGGAAAGTTTCATTCAGGGTTTCATATTTCAGGCAGGCTGTGAAAATGACCCCCTCCCCACTCCCCTGACCCCATGCTGAGTAGGGTTTGGGTTGTAGACTTATTTCATGCTGATTTCACCATGCTGAAGATTTTTTTGAGACAATGCATAAAATGTGAAATTTATTATGATTTGCTAATCAAATGAGTCTCTTTAGTTATCAAAACATGTAGTTAAAGGGTTTGTGGACATTTACTATAAGGCACATGTTTATTCTACTAGTAAATTCCAAGGTTAATCTTTGACATCGCCAGGCTCTTGCCAGACACCCATAGCCGTTACAGTCCTGTCACTTTTGGGTAAATACGATCTTCACTTCTGAGGAGTAGCCAATGGGAGACTAATTGGAAACCCATGGGAAGTTCTTAAATTTGTGCTGCGGCCTTTAAATACACCAGTCCAAATATACAGTAAACCCTTTCTATTATCAAACAGTGTAATTGAAGTATGACTGAAGTATGTATTGAATGTCGGACTCACTGACATGGTATTTCTGATGTGCATTGGAAGAAATAACAAATTTCATCATGGCATGTATAATGTTGTGTCTTTTGAAAAAAGAAATGTGCACTACACTAAAGAAACTACCACTTGTGCCGTCACACAAGGGTGGTCATGTTTCAGTAATAACATATTTTTAACTAATCCTGCACTATTTACTTCCTGCACTTATTGCTTACGACTCCAAACGTGGCTGTGCCAGACGATTGATGTCGAAAAGTGTAGACTGCGATCACTTCCTGGTCTTGGGTAAACATCCGTCTGCGTAACGCATCACCGGAAGGTGACGTCAGCCACCTCTGATTATTGCTTTTCGCACGCCTCGCAAGACGTGTGGTTTGCCAGCTCAACTGTTTTGTATCCTATGATCCTATGATAAACTGTCTTTTGGGTACTTTCCTTTGTTCTTCAGAGTGTGTAGGTATTACCTTTCTGTTTCGTTTTTCGTAGTGATGGTGTTTGTGATAAACACGGTAGTTTCATCACTATTATTGGTCTCTTCGACTTTCAGAACACATGGCTTCAATGTATTCGTAGTGGCTTGTTCTTGGCTCATGCTTATATGTTATACTATCATCGTATATTATTATTAAGCCTTAATTCTGGTCTCCAGTTTATGTCAGTATTTTGTGAGACGTTTTTCTCATTTATGCTGTTCTACCCCGTTACTGTAATATTATTTCACCGTGTGTTCCCCATTACTATTGTAATGTTTTTCACCGCATGTTTGCTGGGGTTTTCTGCTATGTTGCAGTTTCTATACGGCACACGCTGTATAGTTTGTAAGGCGGGGTTTCACACTGTGTGAATTGCACTTTTCCCCGTTTTTGTAATGTGCTAGTTGCGCTAACTTAATTAATATAACACCTTTTTTTGAAGCGCCAGGTCCAACACCGACGCCGCCTGTGACAAGCATCCAGATACTTGCCACAACACTGATGTCCTCCTAGTCTAGCTCTAGGGCGTCTGGCGCTCCGTCTCCTTTCTCCAGGTTGCTGTTTCCAGCGTGTCTTTGGCAGACGTCTTACTCCTAACGCCTCAGATGCATGCACCGCACGCTCAGCAGTCACTGGATGTTTCGACTCCCATTTGACTTGACCTAGTTAGCAGGGCAGTCTGGTACAACAGCGCCTTTGCTGTTCATCACTGCAGCGCCTATACGGTGCTTCTACCACATCGACTACGACCTCGGCGTTCTGCAGTCGGTGTTGGCGCCTCCGTCGCAACACCAAAACCTATTCCAACGTCGTTCCTGTGTACAGGGAATGTATGGTGCATCTACCTGATCCAGCGCCTGTACGGAGCTTGTAAAGCCATACTTACTCCCTCCAGCGCCTGTCCGGCGTTTCTACCAGATCCAGCGCTTGTATGACGCCTATAAACCATACCCCCTCCAGTGCCTCTCAGGTGTTTCTACCAGATCCAGCGCTTGTATGACGCCTATAAACCATACTCTCTCCAGCGCCTGTCCGGGCGTTTCTACCAGATCCAGCGCTTGTATGAGGCCTATAAACCATACTCCCTCCAGCGCCTGTCCGGCGTTTCTACCAGATCCAGCGCTTGTATGGCTCCTACAACTCCATACTCACTCACTCACTCCAGCGCCTGTCCGGCGTTTCTACCAGATCCAGCGCTTGTATGGCTCCTACAACTCCATACTCACTCACTCACTCCAGCGTCTGTCCGGCATTTCTACCAGATCCAGCACCTGTACGGCGCCTATAAAACCATCCTCACTCACTCCAACGGCTGTCCGGCGTTTCTACCAGATCCAGTGCTTGTATGGCACCTACAACTCCATACTCACTCACTCACTCCAGCGTCTGTCCGGTGTTTCTACCAGATCCAGCGCCTGTACGGCGCCTATCAAACCATCCTCACTCACTCCAACGGCTGTCCGGCGTTTCTACCAGATCCAGTGCTTGTATGGCACCTACAACTCCATACTCACTCACTCACTCCAGCGTCTGTCCGGTGTTTCTACCAGATCCAGCGCCTGTACGGCGCCTATCAAACCATCCTCACTCACTCAAACGCCTGTTCGTTTTTCTACCAGGTACAGCGTTCTACCAGATCCAGCGCCTGTACGGCGGCTCTACTGGATCTAGCGCCTATAACATCATAGTGAGTGGCCTATAAAATCATACTCACTCACTCCCTTACTCCAGCGCCTATACCAGATTGAGCATCTATATGAAGTAACATACTGCATCATCGCCTCCACATCTTCAAGAGTTCGGCAGTTGTTGGTTGCACCACTGTCTCCGCTGACCTCTACGTCGGCAGACAGACACATCGTGCCCTCGAACTAATATGGTACCTATACCCGGCGTGGCATTTACACACTCCCTTGTCTTGAATTCATCAATAGGGCAGGCCAGGTGGATGAGGAAATTAAGTGCGTGACAGTGTTTCTTCTTAAAAGGCACGAAACTCAAGGGATGACGGCCCTTGATTTGGAATCCACACGGATGCTCCTTCCTATCTCAACTTAGCTTCGGCTATTAACACTGTCTCTCAAGACCTGACAGAAATGAATCCGTACAGGATCGTCACCTCTCTTCTATATGCATGATGGCTTGGTAGTGGATGGTCCTCACTGTCCTTGACGAACACTTACAGGCAGTTCTCGCCAACGCAGGTGTTATTTGAGGTCAAGGATTTTCCGGTTAGGATTCAAAGCTTCAGAGGAATCTATTTCACCAATCCTAGTCCTCGACTGCCATCTTTAATAACGAGTTCAAAGACGTCTATCGAACAGTGTGTGACTTTACTCACAGGGAGATAGCGTTGACGGCCTTCCTGCAAGTCAAACATCCCTCATCACATGAATCCAGTACCTACTATAGCCTCTACGCCACACTGTTAGGTAGGCTTGGAATCAGGCGCCGGTGCGTGGTAGGAGACGTGGAGACAAGTCTCACATCAACAAGAGAGGATATGAACGTAGCTGCGACCCTTCAAGGATGACGGAAGCAGGGGCAAAAAAATTAAAAAGTTCAAGATCCACATGACTGGGCACTCCCTCATCCACTAGGCCCTTGTATTATCCAAACACCCGTACATTGGTGACGAGTGCGTTCTGACGTAATTGGTTATTTCTTGGGTGTCCATACGTCACAACATATGGACACATGGGTTCCGACTCTTCGTAGTTCTGCCTCTACGATGTGCCAGGTTCCAAGGTTTACCTTCGACCCGGAGTACCTGCTTAGTGCAGCAACAGTGATAATTTGGTGATTTCACGTGGGCTCTCCGCCGTATTGCGTAATTTGCATGTGTCCACCCAGGAATGACAGGTGGACGTTCGTCAACATGTCGGCCTCCTGCCTCACTTATCTCAGTTGTTTTTTTTCCTTTTAGTGGACTCGACCTTAGATCTCATAGGTGGAGTCACCTTCACTGAGCGAGTTCCAAACTACATACGTTTTAGTCGGCGCCTCCATGCATTGGCGCCTCCATGCAGAATTGAGGCTCCCATGCACTTACAAGATCTGATAACCTCAGGTCTTCGGCCGTGAGATCAATAAGCAGTTTGAAGCTCAAGGCAGTGTTCCTCACATCCGTCACTGGGCGCAATAGCTAACGGGCAACACGATTGTTGTGGGGTTTAACGAGAGTTTGACCGGGTTACTGTTTCCAGACGTTCCGTCTGTTTCCAGTAATAGCTGACACCATATCCATCTGAGCACCCAGCATATTCCTGGGTGCGGGTACATCTTAGCGGACGCTATATTGGGATCTGACAGAGTCGCTTTCACAGAATTAATGCTACACAAAGAGATACCGGTTTATGTGTCTCCGTCTCCGAATGGTCAGCCTGGGCAGTAGATGGCTTAAGTCTTTCCTGGGGGCGCTACACGCAAAAATACCTTTCCTCCGGACTTGCTTCCAAATGTTTTAGTCACAATCAAGAATTAACAACTTGACTTCGACTAAATTTAGTTGGTCACAGATGACCAACCAGAGGTTGGTTTCAAGCGTCAAGAGCTCCTCTTCAACTAGCCAGATGTGGAAACATCCTAGTGCATCCTCATCCCACTCCAGAATCCAGATTCCACGAAGGTGCCTTCCTTCATGATATTTCTTCCCACGAAAGCACGATGACGCCGTGTGGGAAAGAGTTGTTCCGAGGGAATCAATTGGGTATGTCAGTAAAGGAGTAACACTTGGAAAAACTCAAGTTAATACTTTTTACTGCATTTCCCTAAAGCTAATCTCGCTTTAAAAATCGCGTGGTCTTTCCATTTAAGCCTGCCTGTCTTATATGCGAATTACCACTGAGAGATAGTCACTGCTTGTTGACTATTCTTCCAGGTGCAACGAAGATACCTTCCACCATGCTTTTTCTTACCGTGAAGCACGCCGACACCGTGTGGGAAGAGAGTTGTTCTGGAACAACTGGGTCTGTCAGTTAAGGAGTAACACTTGGGTTAACTCGAGTCACTGCTTTTTACTGCATTTCCCTAAAGCTTATAACGCTTTAAAAATAGTGTGGTATATACCATTTAAGACTACGTGTCTTATATATTCGTATTACCACTGCCTGATCGTCACTCACTGTCCGCTTTAGGTGCCACACCGGTTTTTCCACCACCGCGGCGCACTTGATGACATTGACCGAGCTGTCTTTGTTTACCTTGCGAGGCGATCCCCGCAGATGACACACCCTCCATCCTGCCTGTGTGATAAATGTGCAGGAAGTAAGTAGTGCAGGATTAGTTAGAAATTTAGTAAAATCTAAATATTTTTTATATTTGTTTACTTATCCTGCACTACTTATGATAAGGGCCCACCCTGCGCTTTCAGCTACCTCCCCGCTCCGTATTCATCTGTGGGATTTATGGCAATAATCAGAGGTGGCTGACGTCACCTTCCGGTGATGCGTGCGCAAACGGATGTTTACCCGAGACCAGGAAGTGATCGCAGTCTACGCTTTTCAACATCAATCGTCGGGCACAGCCACCTTTCGAGTCGTAAGCAATAAGTGCAGGAAGTAAGTAGTGCAGGATAAGTATACAAATATAAAAAATATTTAGATTTTACTAAATTTGTCTTACTGTCAAACATGTACAAACATGTCTTGAAGTATACTGATTTCACATCCTTTCACAGCTCATTTAAAGTAGGGTTGCTGCATTGACCTGTACATCACTTAGGCTAGCAGCCTCATGTATCTCTTCAAAGGTAAAATCTCCCATAGTAGTAACTAGTTGTGATGCTTCAGATACTACCCATCCAACAAGAGACTGGACAACCAGGTGAAGGACCCAGCCTATCCGCGGGGAGATGGCCACAGGTGACAAGCAGGCCAGAAAGGTAGCCATCTAATCAACATTGAGATGCGTTTGTGTTTACATGTTAATCTATCCTAAAAAAATAAAGCCATTTTAACCAAAGTGTGAGATGCTGGAACTTACAGCAAGAAAAGTGTGCAGAATTGTTTTCCTAGTTCTCCAGTGGCTACACATAAAATTAATGATTGAGTTTATGTGAGGTGCAAGAGGTGGCTGAAACATTCTGAGCCTAAATATGGTATGGGCCTGTATGGTATATCCATAACAGTTTGCATGTGTTGAGTACAATACTCTCCATGCTTATGACAGCATTTAAACGAAATACACTGCCAGTAGGCATATTTCTGCTCGCATCCTTCCTTGTTAAGAGGTTGGCAACAGTGTTCAAAAAGATGGAAACCTTGAAGAGGATCCAACTTCAGGAAGGCTTTCAACTGCCACAACCATGGAAATGTTGATAAAATACATGGGATGATATGGATGATAAACAAGTCATAAGTATGGTAACCATCTCTCATGAACGAGTTTAGATATCTTGTAAGGAATGAACTGGGCATGACAAAGGTTTCTGTATGCTGGGTTCCAAGGCTGCTGACCCCTGACCTGAATTGAAACACTCCAGGTTCATCATCATATCATGACAAATTAGATTGTTTTTGAAGAGATACAACTGATTTTGTGGAGCGATTTGTAACTGCAGGGTCTTGGGGTGTGCCACTATCTACCAAATACTGAATAACAATCAAAGCAGCAAAAACGTCTCAAATCTCCTAATAAAGAAAGCAAAATCTGTCCCATAAATTGCAGGGTGATGGCTTCACTTTAGTAGAATTCCAAAGGAATCATACAGTTGGACTACCTATGAAAATACCTTTAAAATATCTAAGAGGAACTTGGTATGCTTTTTTCAACCCCTCTATACTTTCTCTGTACCTGTATCATGCATAGGTTTTGGCTCCTGAGATACATTATTGCACAGGATCATGTTTGAGTCAGTTGTGCTATTATATTTACATCATTAAAGGAAACAGGTTGTAATGCATGTACAGTTATGTGACAATTGATTCCTGTATATGTCCTGCCCCCTAGTCGCCACCGTCATATGAAGAGTGCAGGCTGGAGAGTGAGAAGAAGGTGCAGACAGCAGCACTGTACAAGCTGTCCGCCTTGGAGTGTGAGGGTGGAAAGCTGGCCAGTGGAATCTCCACAGGCCATATAGCTGATGATGAACAGGAGGACACATCTGAGGGTGAGCCCGAGCCAGACTATGAGGAGGAACTCGAAGAGGAGGATGAAGAGGAGGATGAAGAGGAGGAGGATACCACGACAGGCGGTAGGTGATGCCAGGTGATACCACAATGAAGGAGTAGGTGATACTAAGCAGGGATCATTTTGAAATTTAAGTGATTAGGGTCCTAGGCCTATTCAGTTAGAAATGAGCGGGCCCTTTGTCCCGGCACCAGTGCCCCAACGGAGTCCCAGCCAAACACATAGCTGTCAGGGAGGTTATAAGAGGGTGCAACCCTCCATTGGTGTAGATTTGGACGTGGGGGACCTCCAGAAATTTGGTAATTTGTTGAATGACATGGTGACATCTGAGGCTATGAATTTTATCCACCTTTTCACGTTTTTTTATTCTTATGTCTGGTCAAGATGATTCGCTGTTGACCTTATTACTTATTCCTCTATGGAGAGTCGGAAATCACATGCAATGTAATCAGAGAACCTTTACTGTTAATTGGAATTTCCTTTTATGTAAATACGAAATACCCGAATGGAACTTAATATAGCACCTCCTGATATATTTCATCATAGTGATGTAACTATCGATGATGATGATGATGATGATGATGATGAGTGGAGCCATTGTTTAGTAGCACATTTCAGGTAAAGAAAACAAGGTTTCAGTTTGAGAGGGTTTGCCAATCATGCGATCATGAAAAGCAGTATCTCTGTTAGTTCAAGAGTAGAAAACTTGTGAATATGCCATCTGTTTCATTCATACACGCTGACATGATGAGAAGACTTTCATTGAGACCGACATAGCAGATAGTGTGTTTCATGCAGCTGGCATGTCATTCAAGGCCATCGGGTGTCGGAAACACCCGTCAACAAAGACATAACCGTCTCAGATTCATTCAATGTAGTTTAAGATAAATTCAACGAAATCATGTTCAAATATTTTGGCTGTGGACCAACTCACTGTTAATTACAGCAACCCTTGACACCTTGAAAGTAACTTTAGCTGACAGAGAACGGATACATTTATAATAAATGCTTCACTTTGGTTCATTGCAAGTCATATTTCTTGGAATTTGACTATAATATGTCAACATAATGGTTTTGCGAGCGCTTGAGCCCTGTCCGGGACTTATCAAATAATTCCATCTGTATAATAATTTTTCCTTATCCTGACTCATGCTCTTTTGCTTGTCTTCTTCTTCTTGCGAACATAGTGGAACACTTGTATCTCCCTAATTGAAGCTCCCTTCAATGCAAAATCACTAATTAGTACTCACCACGAGTTGCCTCCCTTTGCCTTTGCGCGGGAAAGGCGGCGCCACCTTCTGGCCTCGTGCTTCACTCTCTCCTTCTTCGCCCAGTGAGCAGGATGTGAGAGCGCCTGTGTCTCCCTACACACTATATCCTTTGGTTATTCTTAGTTAGTTACCTCTTATAGTTTACTATAGAGGTGTAGCTAGTATCCTTCATCAATATGTATTGATAATTATTCGTATTTCTACTGTTTATTCACGGGATTCCGTGATTGTTCAGCTAGTTGACGTTGATGAAAATCTGTACTATTTGTAGATTACGTTTTTCTGCTGCTGACCCGCATTTAATATGCCCTAGCTGTACTACGCCTTGTGCGTTTTCTTCACGTTGCAGTTACTGTATTAATCTATCTAATTCTGCATTTAATAAATATCATCTTTGCGTCTTGAGACGTGCAGCAGATAGGTCACGCAAACAAGGTTTAGCCATGGCCGATACATCGGACCCCCTAGCCAGTCAGCTGCTGTCGGACGACCCCCTCCCGTCTGGTGTTCCGCTAGAGTTTCCCTCGGAGGAGGGGCGTGGGATTCAGTCCGCCGTCTCCAAGAAGCGTCCTGCTTCCCCAGACATCCCGTCATCGCAGCCAAAGTCTAAGAGGGCCTCGACATCTACTCAACGCAGACTCCGTACCCCCAGGGCAGCGTCTACCTCCAAGGGGAAATCTACGAAGTCTTCAAGAACGTTCTCAGCCGAGATTGTTCCCGCTGCTGAACTGGGCCTGTATGATGATCAGCTGATCATCATACCCGATCTACTACGCCACAAGAGACGACCGGTGTCGGCAACAGTGACGTCAGCACAGATCGCCATGCAGCCTGATGTGTCTACACTGATGTCGGACGATCTTCCTGAGGGCCCCGTCGCTAACATCGCCGAGAGGGCACCGACTACATCTTCACAGACCGTCCCAGACGACCTGATGCGGCAAATCATGAAGATGATGGAGGACTGTTACAGACTGGAGAGACAACCAGCCCAGAGCCTGAGCCTTCGCGAAGGCTCCAACGTAGACGACATTCCAGTGGGACCCCCCCGTCAATGTAGCGGCCACGACTAAGCCACCTCCGCGAAGGAAGTCACAGACCACCTCGACGAAGGACCCAGATGTACAGCCTTCGTGAAGGGCTTCTAGATCATCACCTACCTCGGACTCTGATGATCAACACTCACATAAAGGCTCGAGAAGGAAGATCACCTCATCCCTGGACTCTGACTCGGACCCCCAGACTTCACGAAAGCCTTCGTGAAGGTCAAGTCGTCGCTCCCCAGGACCGGACGCAGATGAAGCTTCGCGAAGGTCTTCACGAAGGGCACCAGTAACAGGCTCCAAGTCATCTTCGTCCAGAAGGTCATCCAGGGATTCCACAAGGGCTTCGTGAAGCTATCAACGTTCACCACATACATCTCCGCGAAGGTCAACCTTTAGACGCAGCTCGTCAGGCCGTTCACCAAGACGATCTCCTCGCCATTCTCCATGCCGATCACCTCGCCGTTCACCTCGCCGATCTCCTCGTAGATCACTAGTCGATCTCCTCGTAGGTCACCACACAAGTCTTCACGGAAGTCCCAAGTCAGGTCTCCTTTAACATCACCCTGTACAGCGGTAGAAGCATATAGCTCACCATCAGAAGAGCATCAACCTCTTATCAGCGATCCCGTTGTAGAAGATGATGGAGGCATCATTTTCTCAGACGCTGAGATACACTATTGGATGGTTAACAACCTAGACCTATCTTCATCTTCCAAGAGTGGTAATTCGGCGCATACTTACCTGATGAAGGAGGACGATGCAGACACCATCACCCTACCTCCGATCGACCCGATTGCTACGGTGCCACAGAATCTGGACACAGCCTTCCATAAAGCCACTAAAGTCCAAGCGCCACACCTACCACAGTTTAACGCTAAGAAGTTCTCAACCCATAATATGGACCCTTCCTCAAGGCACAAGACATCGATGATAATTACAAAGTGATCAGCGATGTCAAGAATAAGAACTATAAGATTGGCGATCGCAAGCTGGTTCAGATAGAAACCATGACAAAGGCGAATGTTCTTTGGCCTTAATAGATCTAGAGCGATCAATGAGACTCTTATCACCAGATTCGAGACACGACATCTGAGGATGATAGAATGATCTACTCGGCCCTACTTATGCAGAAGAAGGACCAGCAGTTCCTAACGGATCATCTCACATCAGTCTCAGCAAGCTAACTTTAGCTTCGTCGTCAAGGCCTCCTCGCTTCCTGCAGCTGGGGTGAGCAGTTTACAGCTCCACTCTATACAGCCCGTGGTCTTCACCATCCATCTTTGACGAAGGAATAGAGAAAGTCTCCAAGGAAGTCACTAAGGATTCTAGAGAAGTCCTTATGATAAAGTCGATGGACACGCTAGCCAGCGTCTTCAGGCAGACTTCACAAAGATATTCAGGGAAATCTAAATTCACTGGATTACAGAGAGCACGGGATAGGAAGATGGCCAGCTCCAGGGGAAAAGATTCTTTTCGTCGCCCATATGGCAACTACAGAGGAGGATCAGGAAGAGGCAGGGCACCCAGAGGTTCCTGCAACTATAAACGATGAAAGACAGGTTCGGAACGACTGGAGTCTTCCACCCCCAGCCGTTCCAGTACAACCGTCACAAGTGGGTGGACGCCTTCAACTGCACTGGGAGAACTGGGGAATGTTACAAGACCCATATGTCTCCAACATTCTTCAGCACGGATATCGAATCCAACTACAGGCCACGCCTCCATTGACAGTCAACCCTCACAAGTTCGACTTCCAGGCACAACAACTACCAAAGTTAAGAGAGGCTGTTACATCTCTCCTAACCAAGCAGGCCATAGAAGTACTAGATCAAGTAAACATCGAACCAGGCTTCTACTCCCCAGTTTTCCTAGTGCCCAAGAAAAACTCCAAGGAGAAATACAGACTCATTTACAACATGAGCACATTCAACAGAGATTATCTCGCCAAACCGTAGCGTTTGCATGATACATCTACCTCAATTACGGCACTTAATTCGTCCCATGGACTACATGGCCAGTATAGATCTGCAAGATGCGTATCTACACGTCCCGATACATCCCGAATCCAGGAAATACCTACGGTTTACACTAGACGGGCTGCATTACCAATGGAAAGTACTCCCATTGAATATCGCCGGCCCCTGGTTATTCACAAGAGTAACGAAACCTATCGTCACCTACCTACATCGTCTAGGGCTACGCAGTGCGTTCTACCTCGACGACGGGATACAAGTAGATTAAGATCCACAGCATCTCAAACTACAGTTAAACTACATCATCAAGCTACTAACACAGCTAGGATGGTTAGTAAATTTACTCAAGTCGGACCTAGTACCCACGCAAGATCTGCAATTTCTAGGCATTCGATTTATCGACTCTCAACCGTATCATCGTACCAGAAGACCGATGGCTCAAGATCCAACAGACCATTCCACTAGCCCTACTCTCTCCGCTACCAAAACGACATTGGCAGAGTCTGTTGGGTCTCCTCACGTCAGCCCAAGACATGACAGTCAGAGGCAGACTACAGTTACGTCCGTTACAGGTCTTCATCAATGCTCATCTCGACGACCTACAACCATTCAGTCTACCGAAACACCTCAGACCTCATCTACTATGGTGGAATGTCTGCGAAGGCATTTATTTAACAGAGCCGGAATTCAAAACCCATCTCTATGTAGGCGCAGCGTTAAGCTCCAAGGTTGGGGAGCTCATCTCAGCCAACGGACAGCTTCAGGGTTATGGAA